TGGTGTTACTTTCTCTCCATACTGTAATGAATTTTTAATTGAATCAAAATAACAAAAATTGTTAATTCTTTTATTGAGTTGTGAAACCTGAGTATGTAAATCCATATGATATAGCTTGTTTATCCATTTTGTGTTGAACTAATTATATTTTGTGGGTACGTCATAAATTTGAATGATCATAAAAATAACGAGAATCATATAATTTTAAACAAATTTTATACAATATAATGTTGATATTATATATTCAAATTGAAAACAACAACTCAAATATAAATGAATAATTACAATTAACGATTGATTAGTCTTTACTCCTTAAGTTCAGATCATAAAATTTAAATATTTTGCCAAATTCATAAAAAAACTGGTTATTACAAATGTTTTGAAGTTGGTGAACATCTTTGTTCTGTTATAAACAAAGAGCCTTAAAAATAAATATTCAAAAAGTAATGTTAAATAAATGTCGACAAATATAAAAAGTTATATTGAATAAAGAATAATATGTATTCAATTTATTTGTTTTTGTATCATGTCATGTTTAACAATTGGTTTAAAGTTTTAAATGTAATATGCAAAATTGTATAAATTATAATGTGATGGTGATTGTATATATTGATTGTAAATTGTTTGCCTGAACAACCTTTTTATGTTTTTTATGAATCAATTAAACTTGAGGTTATGATGTAAAATATACAAGTTGTGAATAAATCTACAGTCTATATTTAAAGTTTATTTGGTACCTTTTAGATTATTAAAATATTTCGAGAAGTTGTACAAAAGATATATCCCAATTGTTTATTTTTTGCGGTTTACTTAATGTGATGTTTATATAAAAATATTGCTATTTATTTGTCCCCCAGATAACATTAAAAGACTGCCCCTATATTGAAACTTTAGATGATTTGTTTAATCATGAAAATTACCAATTATTTGTTTTGGATAATATAAACATTTTTGTTTATTAATTTAATATTTTTTGTTAAACTACTTTATGGTTCAAAATTTTTAGTTCTTTCATTTTTAATATTGTTGTAAACACGTTATCAGTTAACCATATTATAGACAATGTTGATGTAATTAATTTCAAAAGTGTGATTTCGGTAAATCTATCTTATACGGCTCCCATTTATTTTTTTCCTAATTGTTGTCTTATATAAAAAAAGCAATTTGATAAAACCCTTTTCACGTTATTTTCAATAATAATTACGTCTTTTTTCAGGAAAAAAAATCAGTTAAAATTCAGTTAAATAACTGCGAAGCACTATTTGGAACAATCCAATTTTTTTAAACTTATGACAATAAATATTAGATTTAACTATAATAAAAATAAGTTTTGAAAACAAGCCAGGCTTTTCCAAAAAAAATATTGATGAAAAAGTTGTATTATAACAAATGAATTTATAAGAAAAAAGAACATTTTGGTTATGAAATGGTGACGAGAAGAATTAGGATTGTGATTTCATAAACCTCTGAAAAACAAAACCTTTTTTTAAACTAAACTTTTCCTGCTAATTCTTTATGTTTTCTATTTTTTAAATATTTATTTTATTTTTATTGTATTCAAACAATAGCTTTATACTGACTTATGTTTAGCTTAACTAAAATAATTATTCAAATATCATTATAAAATGATGTTATACCAACAGTTGATATAATAAGTATTTATCGTTTTTGTTTAAACAATAATTGAAAAAAAACACATAAAAAAATAAACATTGAAAATTTTTAAAATGTTAACGAGTGATATATAACCAAAATCGTTATGATTATTCAATTAAATTACAATACATTTGATTTAATTTTAGTTTATGGCTTACATATTAGTGAACATGTAATATCAATATTTATATTTATTTAATAATAATAATATAAAAATCAAATTAAAAAAATAATGACAGAACTTACTATGTGTCAAACATATTTTTGAATCCAGTTTTTATGAGCACTAAAAACAATTTATGTTTACAATAATTTTACCAATGTTAATTTAATTAATGTTGGTGTTATTTTGGTGATTATTGTTTTTATTGATAGATAAAATTATATTTATTATATTATATAATTATAAATTTTTAATTATTAAAATAAATCAAAGAGGGATTCAAAAAACCAATTTATTTAAAATTTAAAATATAATAAGTTTATCGAAAATATCATTTAAAAGTAATGGGAGAAGTTTCATCAAATGTATTGTTTATCATATCAGTTGTGTTTGGATGTATTCTATTTGTTACAACATTTTCAATTATGATCATGGGGCTTATATATTCAACGCTTTTTTCGAAAATCACTGATGGTGGTTTGGTTGAAAAATGTTTTATATATATCTTTTCATTTATTTTACCACCTTTTGTTATGATGTATGTAAAATATGTTGACAATGTTCATAGATGTTCACAAATTGTTTTAATCACAGCAGGAGGGTGTTTCGCAGTTTTTTCTTTCATTTTATTTGGGTGGGCCGTGTCTGTGACATTTAGAACACCAACTAAATGGGATGATGTTAATATACAAAAAAGAATTGATTTTGAAAAAGATGTTTGTTTTGTTATTTCTAATAATAATCTTTGAAGTTTGTATTGTTATGTATAAAAAACATACATCGAAATTTCAATTCGTATGGTCTGTTTTTTAACTTAAATATTTTTGTACTTGCAAATATTTCCAAATATATGTTAACCAAAATAAATTGTTTACATATTACTATATATAATAAGAACATTGAAGTACGTTTAAGTTTATATCTTAAACAAATATGTTATTTTATTATTGATTATATTAATATAAATATACTGAAATTGACAAAAAGAATTCATGTTGTATTGTTGCCAAAGAAAAAGATTTACAACATGAATACTTTATTGATTGTCCATTGGTGACAAAAATTCCAGAAACACCAATTGACTGTGAAATTAAAGAAAAGTACACCATTTGTCTTGCAAAATCACTTAATTTGACAAATGGAGATTTTTGTCAAAAAATGATTTCACCCGACTTTCCTTATCTTATAACCACTGCAGTAATTGTTGGTGTTTCTGCTGTTTCTTATGTGTTGTGTAGTATTTATGCTCTTGTTTTGTTTTTTATAAAAGATCTAAAATTGTGTTCTGTAAATGTTGAAACGAAATCTGATGATCTTTATATTCCAAATAATGATGAACCAGAAGTTAACATGCAAATAGAAATTGAAAAAGAAGCAAATAAGCAACATATAGAAACAGAAAAGGTATAATAATCTTTGGGTTTTGATTGTTATTCTGCTAAAATACAATACTACGAATAATACAAATAATTAGAATATTTGTTTTATCTTTGAAATTTATAATTATTGAAAAAAATGATAAAAAAACATAAAAAAATAACAACTTTTTACAAATTAATGACTGTTAATTTATAATCGTATTGTATTTGTTAATTATTGTTATGTTTATTATCGATCAACTATATTTAAATGATGATTGATTTACTTTACAATTATAACTAATTAATAATAAATAACAATGAAAAGTTAAAAAAAGTTATATATTTTTTGTTTTCATTTTTTTATATAAAAATGGTTCCAAAATTTTTTAATTTTGAATATTTTTTTATAATTTTGCTTTGTGTTAAAAATGAGCTATATTTAATTAATAATTAATTTGATTTTTTTACAACAAAAAAAATTATTTTTAAAATATTCTTAAAATACAATGAAAATTTTTAAAAATGAAACACATGAATATATAAATAAAAAAAAACAACCGATTATTAATTTAAGATTCTTATTATTTTTGAAACAATAATATACGAATCATTTTTTAAACAACTTTAATTACAAAATCATGTTTTATGCAAAACCATTCATTTCAATTTTGGTATTAATCCTATTTGTGGTTTATGGCCAGATCTCAGATGTCTGTCAATGTACACCAAATGGCAACGACGAAACAAATGGGTTTTTCCAAACCAATGGAATTAGTTGTGCTCAAACAGAATTTTTGGTGTTCTGTTTTAATAAAGACTTTACCTTTTCAAGTGGGTCGAAATTTTATGAAATTATAACACAAAGTTCTCTAACTTTCAATACATCTGGGTCTTTATACACAACTTCTACCCGATTTCTGTCTTTGGAAAGCAATGTTATTAACTTTAGATTGCTATTTCATTCCGAATATTTATTTCAATTAAAACAAAAATCTA